ACTACAACGACGGGTTGTTTGATAGGATAGTTGTCAAGATGATAGTGGGTGGTTTGGGTGATGGATGGGGCGAGTTTCGAGCGGGTTTACGACAACTTTCAGGACTTTCACGCCTTCTTCGCGGCCTCCTTCGGCCGCAAGCAGTGGCGGGAGCACAGCCGGAACTATCTTCAGGGGCTGCTGGTGCAGGCTGGGGAGCGGCGCAACGCCGAGAACCTGTCGGAATCGGTGGGCATCTCGGCCCGGGCGATGCAGCGTTTTCTGACCGAGGCCCGGTGGGACGATGCCGCGGTCATCGGTCGGCTGCAGGAATACCTGGCCCCCAGGCTGGCTCACCCCGAGGCGGTGTGGGTGTTGGACGGCAGCGACTTTCCCAAGCAGGGACGGAAGTCGGTGGGGGTAGCCCGGCAGTACTGCGGCAGGCTGGGGAAGGTGGCCAACTGCCAGGCGGGGATGTTCCTGGCCTACGTCAGCCCGCTGGGACAGGCATTGGTGGACAAGGGGCTGTATCTGCCCGAGAGTTGGATCTCCGACCAGGACCGGTGTGCGGCGGCGGGTGTGCCCAAGGAGCGGCTGAGCTACCGGTCGAAGACGGAGTTGGCCTTGGAGCTGCTGGAGCGGGCCCTGGGGTTGGGCCACCTCAAGGCCGGATGGGTTGCCGGGGACGACGCCTTCGGGATGTCGCCGTCCTTTCGGGAGTCCCTGGCGGGCCTGGGGATGCGCTACGTGCTGGACGTTCCGGGCAGCACTCCGGTCTGGCCCCTGGAGTTGGCTTGGACCAGTCCGGGGTCTCAGGGGTCCGGGCGCCCCCGCAAGCCCAGGCTCAGGGACGGGCAGCGTCGTACCATGGAGCAGCGCAGTGGCGAGTTGCCGGATAAGGCTTGGCGGGAGATAACGGTGGCCCAGGGAAGCCAGGGGCCGCGGAGCTATATGTTCTGCGCCCAGCGGGTGCGGGTAACCCGGAAGGGCAAGCCGGGCCAGGAGGCATGGGCCGTCTACCGCCGAAACCTGGACGGCAGCGAGCCTCGCTACTACCTGTCCAACGCTGCCGAGGATACTCCCCTGGAGACCCTGGCCTATGTGGGCGGTTCCAGGTGGCCCATTGAAACGGAGTTCGAGACGGAAAAGGGCGACGTGGGCCTGGACGAATACGAGACCCGTAGCTGGTCCGGCTGGCATCACCACATAGCCATGTGCCTGCTGGGTGGAGCGTTCCTGCTGGGCCTGCAGCAGGACTGGGGGGGAAAAGATGCCCCGGATCACCCGTCCCCAGGTGTACCGGGTGGTGCGGGAAATGCTGCCCCGGGAACGGTTCGGACCGGAGGAGTTGCTGCTGTGGCTGGAGGATACGCAGCTACGCAACGAGCGGGCGCGCCGCTCCCACCAGAGACGCCGCTCCGCCCGCCGTGAATGCAGGATGGAGCCACCACCTTAAACGCGTCGTTGTAGTACTAGGAAGCATCCTCAAGGCCCCGAACGGATGGGCTTTATCCAGCAGCGGGTCAGGCCAGCGCGCTGTGCTAGACTCTTGGCACAAGAGAACGGAAAAGGGTTGCAAACGGGACAAGTTGAGCCTCCCCGAGAGAGTCCGACCATGACAAGCCGAAGCAAGGCGGCCAAGAACTACCTGGCTGGCCTCCCCGATGACTGGCAACTGCCAGATCCTCCGCGTGAGCCTGATATGGAACAGTGGCAGAGCACGACCTCTTTCGACGCCATGCTGGAGGCCCATTTCGCCCACCGAAATGATGTCCTGATTGCCGGAGGTGGGTATCTCCGCCGGGACCCAAGAGATGGTTCGGAGATTTTCGCTCCCGACTGCGTGGTCGCCTTCGGCGTCGACCCAGCTGCCATCGTGTCCCGTAACGGCTATGTCATCAGCCATGCGGGCAAGCCGCCCGACTTTGTGCTGGAGGTGGCTTCCCGCAGCACGGGGAGACGAGACTACACCGTCAAGCGGGAAGGGTACGCGGGCTACGGGGTGCGGGAATACTGGCGCTTCGACCACACCGGAGGGCAGTTCCACGACGCCCCCCTGGCCGGTGATGTGCTGAACGGCGAGGAGTATACGCCCGTTCCCATCAACCGCGACCCCGACGGCCTGGTCTGGGGCCACAGCGAAGTCCTGGGCCTCGACCTCTGCTGGGACAACGGGGCACTCCGCCCTCCGGGACCCGTCAGCCGGCCGGTTCCTGCTCACGCCGGAAGAGCTGCAGGTCGAACTGGAAGCCTCCCAAACGCGGGTGGCGGAGCTTGAGGTGGAGTTGCGAAGGATGCGCGAGCAGTAGCGCTCATCGCATTCTGAAGCGCCTTCTCCCTTGACCTATTCCAAGGGGAGAAGGGAAAGAGGCCTGTGCTACAATCGCCGAGTTGCCGCATATCGGCATCCAAGGCTACTGAAGTCCGTCTATCCTGAGCTTGTCGAAGGGCGCGTATGTATTTCGACTCCCGACGCAGCACCGTTCTTGCCACCAACGGGATGGTGGCGACCAGCCAGCCGCTGGCGGCCATGGCCGGGCTGCAGGTCCTCATGGACGGCGGCAACGCCACCGACGCCGCCATCACCGCCGCCGCCGCGCTCAATGTGGTGGAGCCCAACTCGACCGGGGTGGGCGGCGACCTGTTCGCGCTGGTCTGGAACGAGAAGGAGAAGTCGGTGCGGGCCATCAACGGCAGCGGCCGGGCTGCCGCCGCGTCCGACATCGAAGAGTTGACCTCCCAGGGCTACCGGTCCATGCCCGGCGCGGGGCCGTACTCGGTGTGCGTGCCGGGAACGGTGCACGGCTGGGAGACGCTGAGGGCCGAATGCGGCACGATGCCACTGTCCCGGCTGCTGGAGCCGGCCATTCGATACGCCGAGGGCGGCTTCCCCGTCTCCGAGGTCATCGCCTGGCAATGGGAGAATAACCTGCCCAAGCTGCGGATGTACCCATCGGGCGAGGAAATGATGGTGGACGGCAACGCGCCGAAAAAGGGCGACCGGGTGCGTTTCCCCACGCTGGCGACCACGCTGCGGGCCATCGCCGAGGGCGGCTGCGAGGCCTTCTACCACGGCCCCATCGCCGAGAAGATGGCGTCCTTCGTGCAGGAACACGGCGGCTGGCTGACCGTTGAGGACCTGGCCGCCCATACCTCCGACTGGGACGAGCCCATCGCCACCGACTACCGGGGCGTCACCTGCTGGGAGTGCCCGCCCAACGGCCAGGGCATCGCCGCGCTGGAGGCGCTGAACATCGCCGAGGGCTTCGACATCGCGGCCATGGGCGCCCAGTCCGCCGACGCCTATCACCACCTGATCGAAGCCATGCGGCTGGCCTTCGCCGACGCCTACCGCTACGTCGCCGACCCTCGCGTGGTGGACGTCCCGACGGAGCAACTGCTCTCCAAGGAGTACGCGGCCCAGCGCCGGGAGCTGATGGACCCGCGCAAGGCGATGATGACCGCTCCCTACGGGCAGCCCATACCCGGCGGCAACACGGTCTACGTCAGCGCGGTCGACGGGCAGGGCAACGCCTGCTCGCTGATCAACAGCATCTTCTCCGACTTCGGCTCGGCATGGTGGCGCCCGGCACCGGCATCGTGCTGCACAACCGGGCCGGGCTGTTCTCGCTGGACGCGGCGCACCCCAACGCCCTGGCGCCGGGCAAGCGGCCCTACCACACCATCATCCCCGGGCTGGCCACCAAGGACGGCGAGCTGCTGTACTGCTACGGGATGATGGGCGCCTTCATGCAGCCCAGGGACACCTGCAGCTCATCAGCAACATGGTCGACCACGGCATGGACCCGCAGCAGGCCATCAACGCCCTGCGGTTCATGGTGGGCAACGACCAGGCGCTGCTGGAGGAGGGCGTCAGCCCCGACACGGCCCGCGAGCTGCAGCAGCGCGGCCACAAGCTGGGCCTGATGGCCGGGCGGTCCCGGGTGTCCATCGGCGGCGCCAGGTCATCGCCCGCGACCACCGCACCGGCGTGCTGCAGGGCGGCACCGAACCCCGCAAGGACGGCGCAGTAGTGGGCTGGTAGCCCCGCGCCCTGACCTAAACCTGCCTACGACTCTGGAAGAGAGGACAGACATGGCCGACGCGAACAGCGACCGCAGCTTCTACCGCAACTACTACCGCGAGATCGACGTGCTGCACGGGCTCCAGTCCACGCCCGACGGAGCGCGACTGGCTGCTGACCACGCCCAGGGCGACGTCAAGCAGTCCGACATCGTGCTGTACCTGGGCTGCAACGTGATGCGCACGACGCACCTGGTGCGGACGGTCATGGACGTCTTCAAGCTGCTGGACGTGGATTTCGCGCGCGGTGGCGGCGCGGCCTACTGCTGCGGCATACAGCACCACCAGCGCGGCGACGAGGCATCGGCCAAGTCCGTGGCGGCGACCACCGCAGCCAACTTCCGCAAGTTCGAGCCGGAGCAGGTGGTGATGTGGTGTCCGTCGTGCATCTTCTTCTACGACGACATCATGGACATGCGCGAGGACTTCCCCTTCCAGCACGTGACCGAGTACCTCGTGCAGAACCTGGACAAGCTGGACTTGCAGCCGCAGCCGGAGACCACGGTGTCACTGCACTACCACGCCGGCCGCCCGCAGTCGGACGCCGAGGCCCAGAGCGCGCTGACGCTGCTGCGTGCGCTGCCCGGCGTAACGTCGAGGACATCGGCGGCGACGAGCGCTTCGGCGCCACTGCACCCCGGCAGTGCGGCAGCAGATGGGGCCGGAGGCGTGGGACGAGAATGTCAGCCCAATGGGTGCAGAAGTCGGTGGACGCAGGCGCCGACACCTACGCCACGCTGTACCACGGCTGCCAGCGCCACATGTGCGGCCTGGAAGCCGTCTACCCCGTCCGCGTCGAGCACTACCTGACGCTGGTGGGCCGGGCCCTGGCAATCGAGTACGAGGACCAGTACAAGAAGCACACGCTCTCAGGCAACCTCGACGCCATCATGGCCGAAACCGCCCCCTGCGCCGTAGCCAACAGCATCCCCTGGAGGAAGCCCGCGAGGTCATAACCCGCACCTTCCCAGCTCGGTAGGGCCGACTCACAGGGCCGCGAGCGCGCCCTCTCGGGGGAGAGGACGTTCAGGCCGTACGGGTATTGGATGCTGGATGTGGCGAGGTCGTCGCGGAGTGGACGGTCCGTGGTTACGAGCGCTGTTCCCCTTGAAGATTCTTCGACGGCTAACCTGACAAGGAACTTATCATCCTGGCTGCCCGGTGGAATGTCATCTTCCTCGGGGAAAGGTGGGGCGGTATGGCCCAGGCCATCGATCTTTCCAAGAACCTGCAATAGCTCATATAGCCTGAGCATCGCGTAAGCACCCTCTTCAGAGTGGTAATGCTCGGGGCCATTTAGTTGTCGATCGTATTTGTCCCAAAGAACGTCGTCTACTGAAAAAGCGAAAGCTTCTTCGTCAGCAATCTTGTCGAATAAGTCTCTGGAGATCGGATCTGGGTGATCGTATTCGTTCAGCCTTCTCTGAGCGTAGATAACCACGTTTTCGTCAAGGATGAACCGGGACGTCATACTCTTTTGCGTAGGCCGTCAGCGTAGCGGCGCATCTCATCGCGGGTGGCTTCGTGGAATCCGGTCAACCCGCCTTTGACCTGACCTCGCTCAGTAACTTCTATTTCCGTTGCCGAGCACTCGCCTTTTTCGTCTTTCTCGAACGAGTAAATGGCCAACTCGTCGGTCGTCAGTTTGCCCTCGGCAACCATCGTTAGTAACCGTCCGGCGACGTACTCACTGTGAGTGGTCATGATGATCTGCTTGTCCTCGGCCTTGGCGGTATCAGCCATCACCTCCGCCAGATCCGCCTGCGCCTTCGGGTGCAGATGGATTTCCGGCTCCTCAATCAGGACGGTGGCACCTTCATCAGCCAGGATAAGTTGGTGCAACAATTGAATCAAAGCATTTGACCCAAATCCCTCAGCCACGATATTCACTACCCCAGACGGAGCTAGTGAGGTAATTTCGACCAACCTTGAGGGGACGGTTTCTGCCCTGATTCCGATCCCGGTGACTTTCTTAAGTGCTTCAGAAAGATATTCCTCCACGGGCCTACTGTAGGCAAGATTAGTTGCCAATTGCTCCTCTTGGGCGCCTAAGCCATCGTGCAAGGAAATCTGCTCCTGATGATCGTCGCCAAGTGCATAAGTTGGACGAACTAGACCCCGTGCCGCTGGCACGAACCTCAATTGATCGAACAAGATTTGGAGCTCATCCAAATACCTCGGCATCTCGTTGGCGTTGCTGGCTTCTGGGACGTCAGAAAATACATCAAAATATTGGAACTCCGTCCCGGCGACATTCCCTTCGATTCTAAAGTGAACCGGCAAGGACGGAGGCAAGAAATTTGGCAGGATGTCGTCGGGATCGCTCAAATTAAAGAAATCCCCCTCATACTTCAATCCATCCTCTCCGACCGACTGCTTGAGCAGCAGCAACGCCTGCAACACACTGGACTTGCCCGTCCCGTTCGGGCCGATCAGCACAGTCAACAACTTCGGGTTGATGCTTACGTGGCAGAAGCACTTGAAGTTTTCGAGGGTGATGTTAGTTATCATGGCGGCACACTCCGAACGTCCATTGTATCAGCCGCGTCGCCGTGCTCGGTTGCATCAGCAGCCTCCACAGGGAAGGCGCGGCTTGGAGGCGGGAAGCCGATTCTGCTGACATTTGCCTCTTGCCAAGCTTCAAGACAATGATCTAACATATGTTCTATAAATAAAAGGCTTGGCAAATAGTGCGGCCTGCCACCCCATCGGGTCCACCCCGACCCGGCAATCAGGCAGGAATCGCAGAAATGAGCGGAAATGAGCGGAAATAGGCGGATTTAAGAAAAATCGGCCCTGCAGACCGGCAACTGCAGCCGCTCCCTTGCACCCCGGCGACCGTCAGCACCCGTCGCCACCGGCCAGCACCGGCTCGGTGGCGATGACCGCCCCGTCGGTCAGCACCACGCCGTCGGCGCAGTAGGCCTCCACCCGGCCCTCGCTGAACTGCTCGGCGTACAGCCGAGTATAGATGCCTCAACGCCCCAGCAGCTCCTCGTGGCGGCCGAAGTCGTTGATCCGGCCCGCGTTGATCACGAATATCACGTCGGCGGCCAGGATGGTCGACAGCCGGTGCGCGATGACAAGCGTGGTGCGGCCCTGCACCAGCGGCGCCAGCGCCGACTGCAGCATCCGCTCGCTTCGAGCGTCCAGAGCCGAGGTCGCCTCGTCCAGGATGAGGATACGCGGCTCGTGCAGCAGGGTCCTGGCGATGGACAGCCGCTGGCGCTCGCCGATGGACAGGCCGAACCCGCGCTCGCCGACCAGGGTGGCGTAGCCCGCGGGCAGCTCCATGATCCTGTCGTGGATGTAGGCCGCAGTGGCCGCCGCGACGATTTCCTCGTGGGTAGCATCGGGCTTGCCGTAGCGCAGGTTCTCCTCGATGGTTGTCTGCAACAGGAACGTCTCCTGGGTGACGAAGCCCACCGTGGCAGCCAGGTCGTCGAGGCGCACCTGCCGGACATCGAAGCCGTCGATGCACACGGAGCCCTCGGTGACGTCGTAAAGCCTCGGCACCAGGGCGGCTATGCTGCTCTTGCCCGCGCCGCTGGGGCCGACGAATGCGGCCAGCTGTCCGGGCTCGATGCGGAAGCTGACCCCGTCCAGCGTCCACTGCCGGTTCACGCCCTGCTGCTGCAGGTCGGCCTCGCTGCCGTGGTAGCTGAGGCTGCTCACGCGCACTGCGTCGAACACCACATCGCCCTCGACCTTGTCGCGCTCCAGGGGCTGGGCGTCGGGCGCGTCCGTGATCTCCTGCTCCATGTCCAGGTAGCCGAATATCCGCTCGAACAGGGCCACCGACGACTGCAGCTCCACCGACACCTGCAGCAGGCGCTCCACCGGCTGGTAGAGCCGTGCCTGCAATGCGGGGAAAGCGATGACGGTGCCCGCCGTGGCCGCTCCGGTGTCTCCTATGAATATCAGGTACCCCGCCGCCAGGTACACGAGGGCGGGGGCCAGGGTGAGGAACGCGGTGGCGGCGGTGTAGAAGCTCTGGTCGATCATCCGCTGGCGCACCGCGAATCGGGACAGTTCCTCGCTGTGGCGCCGGAAGTGATGCAGCTCGGCGTGCTGGCGTCCGAACAGCTTGGCCAGCAGTATGCCGGAGAGCGAAAGAGTCTCCTCCGTGATCGCTGTGACCTGGGCCATGGAGCTCTGGACGCCCGTCAGGGCATCCCGCCGTTTGCGTCCCACCCAGCGTGTCAGCAAGAAGAAGACCGGCAGAACCGCCACGGCCACCACGGTGAACTCCCACGACAGGAACAGCATGGCCACGCCCACGGCTATCAGCGCGACCACGCTAGCCACGAAATCGGCGAAGGTGCTGGTCACCACCGGCTCTATGCCGTTGATGTCGTGGGACACCCGGGACTGTACCTCCCCGGTGCGGGTGCGGGCCAGGAAGCTCAGCGACATGCCCAGCAGGTGGTTGTAGACCGCCTCCTGCAGGTCGCCGGTGACGTCCTGCCCCACCTTGCTGGTCAGGTAGGTCTGGATGACGCTCAGCACCGCGCCGAACACAACGATCGCTGCGATCAGTCCCGCCAGTAGCCAGAGCAACGTCAGGTCCAGCGACCCATCCGAGGGGAAGAGGGCCGAGTCGAAGACCTCCTTGACCAGCACCGGGTTGATCACACCCAGCCCGGCATTGACCACGATCAGCAACCCCACGACGGCGACCGGCAGCTTGTACGGCCCGAACAGCCCGATGATGCGGCGCACCAGGCCCTGGCGAGCCCGGTTGTCCAGCATGCGGTGATGATGTTGTTGTGTCGGGTCCGCCATGGGGAATCCTGTCAGCCCGGGAGACGTGGGACAGCGAGGTTCAGCGGGGGCGGTCGGCGAGGGCGGGTTCGCGAGGGTCCAGGGGAACCACCCTGCCGTCGCTGTAGACAACCCCGTCCTCGCAATAGGCCTCAACCAGGCCGCCTCGGTACTGCTCGCGGTAAAGGTGGGCGTAGAGGCCGCCCGCGGAGAGCAGTTCGTCGTGGCTGCCGTATTCCACGATCCGACCTCGGTCGAGGACGTAAATGATGTCGGCCGACAGTATCGTGGAGAGGCGATGGGCCACAACCATGGTGGTGCGACCCTCCATCAGCGGCTCCAGTGCCGACTGAACGTAGCGCTCGCTGGCGGTGTCCAGCGACGACGTCGCCTCATCGAGGATCAGGATGCGCGGCTGGTGCAGGATGACGCGGGCTATGGAGAGCCGCTGCCTCTCGCCGCCCGAGAGGCGGAAGCCGCGCTCGCCCACTATGGTGTCGTAGCCGTCGGGCAGGTCCATGATGCGGTCGTGAATGTAGGCCGCCCGGCACGCGGCGATCATCTCCTCTCGCGTCGCGTCGGGGCGGGCATAGAGCAGGTTGCGCTCCATGCTGGCGTGGAAAAGGTAGCTCTCTTGGGTGACGAAGCCAATGATCTCCGACAGGTCGGCGAGGCGTATCTCGCGCACGTCGACACCGTCGATTAGCACCGCGCCCTCGGTGACGTCGTACAGCCGGGGCACCAGGGATGCGATGGTGGTCTTGCCGGCGCCGCTGGGCCCCACGAACGCGGCCACCTGCCCCGGAGGGATGCGAATGCTGACACCATCCAGGGCCCA